GCTCCGGTGCTCAGCAGGCCCGCGGCAGCTCCATGCCCCTCCTCCCCTCCTCCCCGCCGCCGCGGCGCGCTCCGACTGACTAGAGCCAGCCCCGCCGAGACGCCTTTTAAGTACCGAGCGCGTCCCCGCCGGGAGAGGCGCCCTCCTCCGGCCCTGGGGCCGGGAAAGTTGGGAAGAGTGGGAGGGCTCCCCCGAGGGCCACGAGGGAGCTCCCCCGAGGGCCACGAGGGAGCACCCCCTTCCTGACTCCGGCGAAGGGAGCTCCACGCGGCCGGCGCTCGGCCGGACGCCGGGTCCCGCGTGGACGCGGTTCCCCCACTCGCAGTGTCTGCACCCTCGGAAACTGGGTTCCCACAAACCCACCAAAGGCCGAGCTCCTCCGCGCTCGTCTAGGGTCCAGCTAGCTGCCCAGAGGAAGGCGGTCATTGTGCTCAACCTAGAACCTGAAGCGTTGTTAACTTCCAGTATAACCCGCTTTCTGAGCTTGGAAGTTTACTCACCCTGCAAGCCGGTAGAAATCTTCCCCTGACTTCTGCCCGCGAAGGGGCTGTTCCCTGTATACGGTACACCCTGAAACCAAGACAGCAGAACCCTCCTGCCGAGGGGGGAAAAAGCCGCAGAGGAGAATAATTGTCAAATATGAAAAGACTGGTCAAAGGTGTTAACAATTATGACAAGCTTAGCTTTGAATTCCGCAGTGGGGCGCTGATGACTTGAAGGTTGTTCGCAAGCTGCAAATAGTCTTGTAAAAACCTTGGAAGTTCCGGTGTCTTAAAGCCAAAACTAATTCCTCCTCCCCCTTTTTACACCGTTATTTCCGACATACATGACCTCCTAAATTCCCAACTGACCTTATCGCCCCGGGTGGTTTCCAGGTCCCTAAAAGCTTGGGTGAGGTGGGGTGGGGTTGGGGAGAGACAGGGAGCTGGTTGCAGAGGAAGGAAGTTTAGAACCAGTTGAACACACTGTTGCTCAATCTTGGAAAAAGTTGAAGAGAAAGTATAATTAAACACTAGTAAAAAGTAAATGTACATGACCTTCAAGCACATCTAAGATGTCCATTTCTTTCCAAGCTGCCACAAACTTATAGGAACCTGAGTTGCAGTCTACGAGCTGCTCCTGTGAGAAGCCTTATGGGCTCAGGGACTTACTTGCCCGCCCAAGGGCACTCAGTGTGGACTACAGAGCTCACCCTTCATTCGCCCAGGCAAGCAAAGAGCCCTGGCACACCTACTCC